AAAAGCAGGGATGAAACATTTTAATTTGCGCATTTCTATCAAATCAAAGAGACAATAAAAAATAAGAAATGACGAATTGAAGCCCAGCTTAACCATGTGTACACATTAACACTGAAGGGCATTTGAAACCACCGTTTAAATTTAATGATTGTAGCTACAACTATCATGTGCATACTTTCATGAGTAGTGGGACACACTGGTTATTGTGCTAGACCCTGGCGTGTGTAGAATTAGTACAAACCAAGAGATCTATCAATTGTTTCAAAACCCACTCATACTTTCAACATTTTAAAATATCAGGCTGCACTGTGCTGGACACACTGACAAGATCCACGATTGTAGAGCAGTAGAAGTGATCTAAAGGCAGACTATACGTAGTTAGACTTCTCAACGGTCGACCAAGACTGAGATGGATTGGTGATGTAGAGAAGACATCACATCAAATGGGGAGCATGAAAGGCGGATACCAATGGATTGATGTAAATGGTATGCTATTGTTGATCAAGTTACGGACCTATATGGTCCATAGCACAATTAATGATGTTGCGCTACTTTATTATAGAGAATCAATAAAGTATCTATATTTACAAAAAATTAAATAACTCTTCACCAAAAAAAAAATATTAGTATAACGACATTAAAAGATTTCTGAAAATTGTATATTGACTGATTGACCAAGCCAAGCTATACAATGACCGACCAAGCCATGCTATACAATGACCGATCAAGCCATGCTATACCATGACCGACTAGGCCATGCTATACAATGACCGACCAAGCCATGCTATACATCAACATGTCATTTAAGCGTATCTAAAATAAGTGTCCGAACTGTCAAAGAAATGCCACAAGATGGATTGAAGAATTAAGTATTGTGTTGCATGTGTGATGTGTTTGTAGTTAAGTTACATCAGGATTTATACTATACATTATTGTAAGTCGGGACTGGTGAGTTATAGTTTAAGCTAACTGAAACCATAAGACCAACGAATCATAGACAATTTCAGGTTTTTGTTGCTTTTCTCTTTTGTTGTTTCTAAAGGTAATCGCAAAAGTCTTCAATACATATACAACTGTCATTTAAGATGTTGGCCGCTTTTTCTTTCCCCTTTTTTTTGTGCTGTCTGCTGCATGCTTAATGCTTTAATGAGGTAAAATTAGTTTTCTAATTGTATACCAGTTGTTGTCTTCTATGGTGCCGATTTGTTCTCCCGTGCACAGACAAAAAGGCGACAATGTAAAAGCACTTTTAAATCATACTTGTTTGAGGAGTGCTAATAAGATAAATTAATATTTTAAAGACAATGTTCAATCGCTAGATTAAAAACATAGTGTGATTTATGAAAGGATCTAAACATATATGTATAATTCATTTTTTATATATTGATGGAAAACAAGTTTTGTTATGTTTTTAATAAAAAACAATAATTATACAGAAAGTAAAAACACATATTTTACTAAAGTAATAATTTCGTAAACTAACCAAACATAAGACTCGGATTTAAATGTTATGTTTTTTTTTTTCACTTTCCTATTAGAAAGCTGAAAAAATTGAAAGGAAATGTAAGTTTGCCAACTTATAAAATCTCGAAAACTAAAATAATTACCAAATGTGTATGCACTGATGAGAGAAATTTTTAAATTGTGCATGTGTAGCTTTTACTAACTTGTAACAAAGAGCTAATATGTTAAATGCATACAAATGTTCATCTTTTTATGAGAGCACACATTAAAATGAATGATCCATTTCTATCTGTATATATATAAGACATGTATATATATATCTTACACGAAAAAATAAAAAAACAATTTAAAAAGTAACATTAAAACCGTTAATTCAATGACACATTTCTTGATTACTTTCCTAGAAAGTTTAAGCTTTAGCTTTTTTTCTTTTTATTGTATTCCATTTAACATCGAATGAGGTAACTGTTAACAAGACCATTGAAATTCTAGCAAATGGCATTGTGCATTGTAATAACAAAACTTTCTACTCAGAAAAAGACAAAATACAAGAAAAAAACAATATTATGTAATATGACACTATTCATCGTTAAGCTGTTACATACGTTAATGAACATTGTTTATCTAACATACAAAAAAATATGTCCCAACTAAAAGACAAACTGGTGTTACGTGCTTTTTATTCTATAAAAATGTATTAATGTTTTAGACACACGTTTAGCACGAGGACAATGCGTGGTCACACCCCAGAGACATGTGATGCTGAGATTTCAATGACATGTTACAGGTTGCCTGCCATGTTTTCAATGAGACTCTCGCACTCGATGTGCTATAAAGATCATCTGAGGCCACAGTAGCGCCACAGTTGCATCAAAACCGGTGTTGTGCTCCAGTCGTCATGAGGATCTTCATTGTATGTGTCTGCGTTCTTGGAGCTGCATTAGCGCACCGCTGGGTAAGTTATTTGTGTTCCATTTCCCAGCCAAACCGGAGTGTTTGATCCTCTAGTCTCACTTTGAAACAGCACAGCTAAATCTTTAACAGAGAAGAAATTAACTGCATAATTCAATTAAATTTATTATTCTTTTAAATACTTACACAAGTTTTTTTTTACTTATGTTTGTGTCTTTATACTTTATGTAAATGAAATAAGCATTTACCTTTTATTGATCAACCTAAAATCCCATAAAATTTCACAAGCTTTAAATAAACCAGACATGATTTGATGACGTCATAGTGTCTGCTGGTTTGTGATTTTTTTATTTATATTTAACTCTAATCCCTAAACATGCATAATATTTGGTAATAATGATTTTCTTAAAATATAGCAAAATATATTTTTATTTCAGCTTTTATATTGGTTTATATTAATCATACAATTCATTTAAACCAGTATAAATATTTATCTTTGAACGACTTATCTGTTAATTACCCAAAAATGTGTATTCAGTATGACCCAGTCGATTCAAATCAATGCCTAAAGTATCCTATAAGTCAAAGCCGAACTCTCGGTTTTGTCTTGGTAACTCGCAGTTTACTTTCACAAAGCGGAATATGAGCAGACACTGGTGCTCCCAAAGCCGTGCTACAAAGTCTACGAAGACGTCCTAGACTTAGAAGCGTATGTCAATTATAATTGTATCCTGTTTGCATTTATTTGTTTCAAAACAATAATCTTATCTTATCTCATCTTATCATACAGGAAGGAAATGGCGGACCTAACCGCGGTGGAGGAGGTAGATTCGGTGATGGCGGCGATGATAGAGGTAGATATGATGATGGACGTGGTAAATGGGGAGGTCATGGCGGAGGAAGATTTAACGGTAGCGGGAATCGGACGATGGGTGATGAATGGGGCGGACCTGGGAGAGACAACGGAGTAAGATTCAACGTGAGCGGCAATGGGACTTGGGGTGACGACTGGTGAGGTCATGGAAGAGGGAGGTTCAACATTAGCGGCAACGCCACAAGGGATAGCTTTTGGGACACTTTGGGAATAGATGGGAACGGAAGGCCATTTCGGAACAGGAAAAACGCTTGAGACGGCAACAGCATTAACGGTGTTTGGCTTGGACGCGGCAGGCACAGATATGGTGGTAGGAAAGGTTAAAATGGTGATTATAGTCAGAGATACGACAGCAGAGAAAAAGTCAGGTCGTTCAAAGAGAAAAATCCAGAAGATGGAAGAACAGGTAAAGTTGCAGCGTTATGGTTTTGGTGGATTAGGAAAAAATTAAACCATGTATGGCGTGTATGGCATGTATGGCATGTATTGGTCCTTTAATATTACTTTTTCAATATGATTTCACGACGGACTCAAGAAAGAGATACAAGAGAAATGGATTTTTAATGAAAAAATATACTTTATTATCAAGATAAGGGCGTAATGGTAAAGTTTAATATCATACCATTACAAGTTGTAAATGACAGGCTGAGACTGAGCCAATGTTGGAGGCTCCCCGGTGTCAAAGGGCGTAACTATTGCTTCGCCGGGAATCCCCTACCCATGGTATGAAACAAAGACACGATTATCAGAACATTGGTGGACATGAAGATACACTCTTGATGGGCACGTTACAATCGGCGGCTAGCGTTGGCACGAGTTTATAATAAATGTGTAAGTTGTAAATATGCCTTGTTTAAGGCTGGATTAGAAGTGAATGAAGCCAATACCAAGTATATGGTAATGCCACAAACCACGAAAACAAATGACAACATTAAAATAAAAAAAAATATATATTTGAAAAAATACAAGGAAATCTAATAGAAACAGAAAATAAAATAAATGGTGCACACATCTTTGAAAGAACTATTGCAAGGAAATACCTATAATAACTAAAATTTATTTAAGTCTACCCATGTTACTAGGAAGCGGACAAAATGTGAAGGGTAGAAAATAAAACAAATAACTATTAATTATAAATAGCTTCGTGATGTGTGCCGATAGACATGTAGGCTCAGCGAAACAAAAGGAGAAAAAAACAACAGCAAGCAGACGACATATGCTCAGTACTTGGGCAATGAACATCCTAAACAAATGTAATTGGATATGTACACAAAATATTGGATAAAGAATATGAGTTTATTTAGATAGGTACCAGTTGTACAAATACTCAGCAATATTTACAGATTTCAAAAAAAAAAAAATTAATAATAACAAAAGCTGCCCCCAATAGATCACATCGAGGGAGCGAAAAATTATAAAATAGAAAAAGTGTGGTTTTACAGAACAAAAATCGAACTTGACTGAGAGGAGTTAATGATTTTGAGACGGATGTACATGAGCTGCAGGCCTGTGCATGGACACCGAAAGCCGTAGATGAGTCGTATTGAAGTGATGTGCTGGAAATGGCCTTAACCTTCCGAGGACGTTAGCGCCATTGATGATGAGAGTAAAAGTCACAAATCTAGAAAGAAAAATGGAAATAAGACAAATGGAATTTAGATATGAATGATAGCGAAGCATTCACAAAAATGATGACGTGATGACTTTTTTATGTTATTACGTGAAATGATTCTTGTCCATTCCTCAATTCAGATGGGCCAAACAGGTTTACAGGTTTCAATACCAAAGAATTTCGAAAGAGGCAAGGGACTTTTCCTACCGACGATGTTGTTAACACCGTAAAACTAACATTGGGAAGAGCGTATACAGGTAAGTTAAAAAGATGTATGAATTTTTAGGCGATAATTTTATATATATATATATATACACAACATTGTACTTAATTAAAAAATGCAAATTTGACCATGCTAGAACACTTCTTAGAGAGTTGCATAGGCTGCCGATCCCCGCTCGCATAGAGTACAAAATTGCAATTATGTGCTACCGCTGCTTGCATGACCTGGCACCGTCCAATCTCAGAGCGCTACTGACGCCATAGGTACCCACTAGACAACTCCGCTCATCTGATAGTGGCAAACTCTCGATACCACGTGTTCACCTAGAGACTTATGAGGGGCGCCCTTTCGCATTTGCTGCCCCAACAATTTGGAACACCCTTCCTGTCGCTCTCATAAACACCCAGATAGTGGAGTCTTTTAAAAATTGATCTCAAGACTTAACTTTTTTGCAAATTCCTGCTGGGGTGATGTTGTTTATATAGCTATTATCTTGTAGATGTATATTGGCTTGTGTTGTTTATGTTTGAAAGTTATGAAAGACTTAGAATAGGTATTATCGTATGTAGTTTTTGTAATGTTGCATTTTGTACTTCAGTGTGGTATGTACCGCGCTTCGAGCCTTCGGGGATGAAGTTTGATTTTCAAATATTATTATTATAAGCTATTAAACAAATGTTCTTGAAATGCTATCAGTTCTAGTATATATATATATATATATATATATATATATATATATATATATATATATATATATATATATATATATATATATATATATATATATATATATAAATATATTTTTTATATATATATATATATATATATATATATATATATATATATATATATATATATTTTATATATATATATATATATATATATATATATATATATATATATATATATATATATATATATATATTATGTGTGTGTGTGTGTTTACGTGTGTGTACAACATATATATAATTTGCGCCTTATTATCATTATAGTAATAGAAGTATGCATATATATTGCTACACTTTTGAACCATTAAAAAATACTCTTTTTCAATTAAAACTATTCTTGTACACTTGTCTTATCTTCGATCAATGCTTAGATGTATAGCCTGACATTTTACATACAAGATAATAAAATGTACGTATCTGTTTGAAAGGCATCTCTGCTGATGAACTGGCATCAGCAGCACAGAGTGAAAAGGAAGCATCTGAGGCCTTACTTGCTGCCCACAACGCTGATGGTAAGAGATTGAATTCATTCATCATACGCTCCTATCATCGCATTCCCTATGAACAGAATAATTAGATAAAATTTAAAATGGGTATAATGCAAAGCAAAAATATGACATAATTTTAAGTTTAAGGTCGCTATTATTTATTATTGGTTTGGCTGACCTGTAACAACTTTACCGAATTTCTATACACATTATCGAAATAAAAAAATTAACAACAATTTATAAAGCACCAATTTAAACATGTTATTTATTATAATGCTGAAATATGTTTAAAATAACATTTGAACAACCGGCTGTAAAAGGTTAACAAAAGATCCCCTCTTGTAATGAAACTAGATGCAGATATTTTTTCGTTAACTATCCAAAGCACTCTTAACATTTTTTGCTTTAATGTTGTAATGCAAATTGCAAATAGAAGAATGCTAAATTTGGCAAATGTTTGCAGTTATTTATAATCAGAGGTTTAGTGCTGAAGTGGATTTTTCTATCCATTGCTTGGCGCTCCATGTTATGCTGTCTCCCTCTATGTATTCCGTGGTGTTTGGTAGACGAAAATAGTCAACCTGCCCCGCTTATTTTCATTGTGTCAACACCCCTTTTCAACATTTCAGACTAGTTGGTTAGCGGCTGGTAAGTCTGTTGTCAAGGTTTCCTTCTTAAATTGATGGACAATCTGTTATTAAAAGAAAAAAAATATTTTATTTCTCTGGGACAAAGGGCTTGCCCAAGGTGCTGCCAAGGGGGGCTTTCTAAGGGATGGCCAAGGAGGCTGGCCATAGAGGGGGGGGGGCTGGCGAAGGGAATGGCCAAGACCTTCACAAACATTTATCTGACACGTTAATTATCTCGTCACGAAAAAAACATCATCGGAAACTTGAAATTAATTATTAAAACTTATCTATCATCTCTCGTCACTACAAATGATTTGAAAGAAACAATGCGAAAGCTGAATGAGAATTAGAAATAGATTTTAACAATGAAAAAGTGATATCACTTAACAATTGATGATCTTTTCTTTAAGTGTCGGATGCAGACGCTCAAAGTGTAATCAATGAAGTAGCGGCCGGAATAAATGGTGTCCCTGCTGTGGAGTCTATTGACTCGGGTAATGTTCAAAGAACACTTTTTTGATGTTTTAATAAGACTTGCAATATACTTTAAGAGTTATAATTAAATGTCACTAAATTACACAACGCGTATTTCAGTATTTTAACTAAAATGTGTTAGAAGGAGACCTATTTTTTATTCGGCATACTCTAATGGACAATGTGTGAATTATTGTTTATGTTTAGTTGTTACAGTAATTTAATTGAAAATGTGCTTTTTTAATTTTTTTTTTAATAAAACATGTGTTTTGATAAAATATGATTAATCCATCTTTCAATTTTGTTTCGTAAGCTAAGTATACTCAATTTAAGAAAAATACAATAAAATGCTATTTTTTAAAAAAAAATATATATTCCAGATGAACTTGGAGACCAAGCAAATAAAATTACGCTTATCTTGCAGTTGTGGAAAGGACTGATAGAAAAAGTCAAGAGTCAAGAAGGTATATTTTCACATTCTCATTTGCTATTTCACTCGACAGCCTTAAATTCAGTAATATGCTTTAAATGAAATGTGATTCTAACAGCTCAATCTAAATGATGCAAACTTTGTTCATGGTGATCACGAACATTTCTCTTACTGACCCACATGGCAAATACACGAAATTGTCATTCCTTTAAATCAACAGAAATACATTATTAGCAAAGAGGGCATCAGAAATCAAACAATAATTTATAAAAAAAATCTATAAGATATTTATTTTTATATATCTTATATATATATTTCATATTTATAAAATAGTTTTGCCCTCGGCTACTAAAAGATAGGCACCAAGGGCTGATTGGTTAACTTCCTTTTAATTAACGTTTATGTATTTGGGGATGAGTGAGAGAGGGGATTAACTGCTTCATTATATGTTATAATTAATTGTACTATTTATTTTTAAAAGTTCTTTAACTTTTCATCCGTTCATATTCCCATTATATCGACCTACATTCCCTTAACCTATCGAGCTGAAACTTGGCCCATAGATTCGTCGCGGATGATAACACGTCGTTTCAAATGTTCAGCCCCACTTTCAAGTCCAACAATCAGTTGTTACGTTTTGTCAAGGGGCAGATGCATTAAATATGATGACGACCCCGATTTTAACGAAATAAGATGTCCGATAACTGCCTGCGCTAATTGAGAATTAATTTTTTTTTTTTTTAAAATATGGCTATTTCGGTTGGGTGTGATATATCCTTTTGTTTTACTGACATAGTTGGTGAAATGAATCTGCAGTGTAAATGAGGACGAGTCATTAGAATATTGATATAGTTATAAAAATGTTTGGATAGCGAGCCTTCAAGGGGATAACTGATTGGGATTCTTATAAAGAGTGTTAACCATTCTTTGCCCTTAAATTGATTAAAGAATTGTAGGAAAAAAATTGATTTCTTTGTTGTTGTATTTTTAAAAATAGTGTTGTTTTTAAACAGTGCATCATTTTTGACATTGTATTTGAAATTCTACTTCTAGGTTTAGGACAAAATTATGATGCAGCTTTGAAAGCCCTCAGTAACTTATCTGATTCTCTCCTTAAGGCGGTAAAGAAATCGGGTAAACTTTATATTTGTTCATAAATTAAGTAAAGTGTTTGTTATCATTAATTGTCATGGTATAATTTTTTCAGGGATTAATTTTAACAGCTTTTCTGTATTTATATTTCAACGTTAAAATACAAAATTATTACATACAAAATATTGTACATAAAAATATATATAACCTTACACAGTAAATTATTCTATACAGTGTATTTATTAAGTTATGACTGACGCAAGAACCATAGCTAAAACATGCACTAAGAGTTTATTTTATCGTTGAAATTTCTGTAATTCTGACTCTATCTATTCAGCTTTTTAAGTCTCTAAATGATAAAGATATGTAAAAAATAATTAGTTCTACAAATTACTATATGCAATTTTGGGAAAAACACGTTTTTTAAAGTGGATATATGATAAAAATATTGAGTTATTTAGCGTTAAAGGAGAAAAAAAACGTGAACAACGTGGAAATAACAGTAGAACAGCGTTTCTCAACATGTTGGTCGCGGCTCCATCTGGGGGTCTAATAACTCATACACAATATCTGTAAGACCATAAAAGAACATATAGATTTCTGAAGTAGATACTAAAGAAAAACTATGGTTGTGGTGGGTCACCACAAAATTGGGAAGTGTGTTAAAGTGTCGCTGACTAGGAAGGTTGAGAACCTCTGTAGTAGAGGCTTGAGATTTAAAGTTAATTAGATAATCTCTTTGATACATCACACACACACACACATTTGTTCGAGCAAAACATATGCATTTATGTATCTAATGAGTTAATTTAGTAACTTCTTATCCATTTCTCCTATACATTAGTGCATTGATAAATCATATCTTAAAGATGTTTTTTGGCAACAAGTCTCCAGTTGTAATTATTTTTCGGGGCTCACTTGATGGTTTGGATTGAAACAACGATGTTCATTGAACGTATTTTTCAGTTAGGTCATATCTAAAAAAAAGATTAAATCACGGTTGTTGAAATTAAAATTTAAATATTATCTTTCAATTTATTTCCATTCATTTTATGTTTTAGTGGACTATGTGACAGTCAAAGTTTTTAAAAAGAAAGCGGTGAGTTGTATTAACGTTTGTGTCATCTTAAATGTAAAGTGTTAATAGTTTTTTTTCGAATCGGAATCTATTTTGGAATTGTATTTCAAATGTGAAATGGACTAAAAATACTTATTTTTTAAGAGGCTATCAAGCATCTCTAAAAGTTTTGTTTTAACATTTGTTGTTTTTGTTGTTTTATTTAATGTTATCAAAGTTCAAATACATTGTAAATCTATTTTTTTTTTTAAATTTGAAAAAAACTGTTTACTTATTTAAAAAAAACATTAACATGAACTTTCAAAACTCGATTTGGTGTTCCTCATTTGCTAATGTAAATATTTTCAAGTAAAAGATATATATATTTATTGATATATTTTTTTACAATGAACACATTAAAAAAAAAAAAGTTTAATTTAAAACTTTGCAAGTTATGACATTTTTTTTTGGTTAAAGCAGTATTTAGATATGTAAATGCTCTTATGTTTTTTATTAAAACTGAAATATTTAATTACAAATATTTAAAAAAAATCTTAATACCTGATGATATATTTTACATAGACCAACAGTAAAAGACAAGACGAAGGTCAGTAAATAAATATATGAATATTTAATATGATTTTTCAATAATTATTATGACATTGATTAGATGTGACATTTTTGTCTGTATCTTACATTGTATTCAGTCACCTTTAAATTCCAGCCCTCTAATGGGCTAGATTAAATTAAACATGTTCATAAAATTTTCTTTTAAGCCAAGGATGGCCATTGTTTATTAGAAAATACGTTGCTTCATTTCCAAAAGTTTACAGAATGTACGACAAATGACTACCCAAAAAATTTACAAGAACATTTTCACTGCATTGCCTTTGTTCCTTCTCAAATGTGACTTAGTTATCAGTTTCCATAGCCAATAGATTAAAAAAAGAAACAACGACAAAACACAAAGGATTGGATTTATAATGTATAATTATATTCGTTAACAATATGTTATTTTATCAAATGTAGATATATATATAATATATACACACATATATACATATTTATCTATAGATGCCGGAGGTGACTGGTCAACAAGTGCTAACGTCGACTACAACCCAGACGCCGGGGCTACGGTGGGTGGAGGTCTGACTTACAGCAATGGACCTTGGTCGGTGGGGGGTACTGCGCAGTACAACACCAACAAGGGCCCCAGCGGTAGTCTTGACGTTGGCTATCAGGGGGATGGCTACAAGGTCGATGGAAACCTGGGCTACAGTCCCGGCGGTGGGACCTCAGTGGGAATAAAAGGAACATGGGAATTTAAATAAAATGTTCCCTTTCCAAGATTTAATACAATAAAAACAATGACCTTTTGAATTTTATGAAACAAATAAAAACCAATTGGTGGCAAACATATGTGTTAATTGATTTATCTACAAAAATATGTTTTGTATTGCCTAAATGATATACCGTTTCAATATTAGTTACTTAAAAAACACAAAAGTAAAAAATAAAATTTTTAGATAAACATGGAAACAATTTTGAAAATACGGAATGTTATCAAGCATTTGTATTTCTTAATGGAAATGTAGTTATGTGTGCTATCCAAAAATAGAAAACTTTTTTGAGATACTTACTTAAAACTTGAACAATAACTATACTTTACTTTAATAATGTTAAAAATATATTTAGTAATGAGTTTGCTTTTGCTATTAATGCTTTCGAAACAAAACTTCTTTTAAAACTTAATATTGATTTTTAAGAATAAAACGTAATATTTTCTGGTGTTTTCGAATCATTGTTTAAACTCATGATATTATTTTTGAAAAAAAAAAAGTATTTTAAGAAACAACTAAAGAAAATTTAGAAAAGTAGAGGATAATCCTGTCATTTTGACCTGAGTGGGGCAGAGCGCAAGCCTCCTGAAATAATTAATTTGAGATGGGTTATGGGTGGAGTCCCAGTAAAACCAGGGCCAGAAATGCTTGTATAAATTTAAAACGATGACCTACCACCGCAGCATTCCTGAAAATAGTTGTTCATTAATCTACAAGTAAGCGGAAAGGAACAGATGAGATAATTGTGTACAAATTCTGCTGTTCAATTAAACATTTTATGTCGTATATATTTTACGCTTCTGGTGTGACTGGTTGACTGCTTTCTAACAGACTGCTTCCTAATGGACTGTTTCCTAATAGACTGATTCCTAATAGACTGCTTCCTAATAGACTGCTTCCTAATTGACTGCTACCCAGTGGACTGCTTCCTAATCAGCGAATTTTGTTTTTAGAGTATATTACAAATAATTCTAAATATTTGAAAGAAAGTGTGGTTTAATAATTAGTTCGATATAGTTCCCGATTAGCAAGCTATAAGATTTTTTTTTTAAATACCACGCAGCTGCTTTTGCAGCGTAATATTTTCTTTTCGGAAGATGAAATCGTCTCAATTTAAATATGGTGTGAACATTTTTATTTTAAAAGGGGTTGACGATCAGAATATTTAATATAGTACATGGCCGTAAACTAAAACGTGTGCAGTGACGTATCATGGGGTAAAGGGTATAGCGAAAAAGTGTGATTCTTAAATGTTCTTTACTTGAGTTCATATTTTGTAAGGAAAGTTCAGCGAAAGGGAAGTTCACGCAAAACTGTCATAAATGTTTGGCAAGCTATATCTAGTGCTTACTTAGTTGATCAAAAATTGAAAGACAAACTTACGCTAAAACGTTTTGTTTGTCTACATAAAATCTTGCTTAAATCGTTGAAAATAAAAATGAAAAAATAAAACATCATAATTATAAAAATTGCATTTTACATGTATTTAAATCATTAGACATTTTCGAACGCTACAGAGACAGATTTAGAGCTATTGCTTACATGATAACTTATGAGTTCAAATTGTGTATGTATAGAAAACATGGATATCCGATTACAAGTCTAAAGATTTGGATTTAAACGTTTTTACTATATTTCGGACAATTTTAAATTAACTAAATTGTCCTCCTGCCATCATGTATTTCATAGAATTTTTTCAAAATTTCTCCACATAGTATTTTATTGCTTTCCAAACATCAGACTTAAGTGAAAAGATTGCAATGAGTTGAAAGTAAACTAAAATTATTTTGTTAAACAATCAAAAAAGGAGGGTGTAGTATGATTTAATTGTTACTATGTAAGTAAACTAAACTATCAGTTTTGTTTGGTATGGGGGAATTTTACAGTTTTATTTAGTCTTGACAATGCTAAATCAACTCTCAAGCTAAATGTCTCCCAAAATACATCATGCTTACATCAAGTTGAAAGTTAACTAAATTTTTTTTATTAAACAATCAGAAGAAGGAGGGTGATTTGAAGTGCCGTTACAAGTTAGTTGTCTATCTGCAAGTAAACTTAAATATCAGTTTTCCTGGCCTGGGGGGAATGTGACAGTTTTCTTTAGTTCTGACAGTACTAAATCAACGCTCATGTTAATGATTTCCAAACTACAGAATGTTTTCACATCGAGCAGATTGATAAACTAAACGGATTCTACCACTGGTTTTCAAAAGGTTGATGTAATTTAATTATCTCCTTTTTAATCACCGTCGTATCAAAAACTCTATAACTCAGCCACAAACACATCGACACAAGCATCAACCGCTTGTCAAATCACAAAAACATTATAACTCACCCTAAAACTCCTTTAAAATGCCAACTCCAATCCATAGTCACATGTCGACCTGTAAATCTAAACCTGAACTTCCTTCCAAAAACCAATTCTATTCCCTGTATCACCTTAACATCTATAATGCCCTCACTGCCCGATTCCTTTTGGTATCCCTTTTTAAATGGGATTTATTTCCAATTCGGATCCCGAAGCCTGTGGGAAATCCGATTTAAATGAGATCCCGGGGGGATCCCCATTCCCAGTTGGATACCATTTTCCCAATATATTCGTCTTTTCAGGTAGGATCCCGATCCCGTTCGGATGCGGTTTCCCTGTGGGATACTCTTCTCCGTTGAGATCACTTTTGCCGATATGATCCCTATTTGATCCCGTTAGTCGATTGGATCACGTTAATTGGGGGGGGGGTGGGGGGGTCGAGTTTACTCATTCACTTTTAGTGTATCCTTCATCGTCGGAATCATGTTTTCATTGGGATTTTGTTTCCGATAGGCGTATGAAGTGTCTGTTAAAAAAAATGCCCATGAAAGCATACAAATAAACACACCTTTTAATAAGATTTTAGATTCAATTCTATGTACCCGTAGAACAATATAGAACTTTCTAAATCATTATAAATTAAAATTAATATGCGCCTTACAACATGTAAAAAATGTATATTCTAAATAATATTTTTTTTTGAATCTGAAAGATTTTAAAACTAAATGCACTGCTATAACTTTAGTATATTTAAGTTGAAAGATGGGGCCCAGCGGAGACCCATTCCATCCTTGTACCGAATCAGTTTGACTGAGATGAGGAGGTCCGATAAAACTCAGTCAAGTACATAATACATTTAAAGGATAAATGTTTTCCCGTTAAAATTAGTTCAAAATGTCTATTCACATAGCTTTTTTTTTTTAAATTATGGAACTCACTGGAGAAGTCTAGACTGGCCCTGACTACATTAAATAATTTTCATTTTAAATCTAGCTATATTTAAGGATTAAAGGGTTTGGATTATAAAGGATCTGTTAAAGAAAATAAAAATAATTTCTCTACTTAAGTATGTGGAAAATATTATGCAGCTTTAATTTTTATGATAAAACATTTTTTTGCGGTTGTTTAATAATGTAAAATGGATTACTGTAGATTTGAGTTTATTCCATAGAGTTTAAACCAAATACACAATTTTGCATAAGTGCATTGTCTGTTTTACCTTCTCTTTTTATATTGTACTTCCAGGTCATTTCCTTTCATCGTTCATATTTCTTTTTTTTTTGTAAGGATCTTGTGTAGATGCTAAATCTTGTTTATTTCCCTTTAAATTTGTGGTATACATAAATTATATGTTAATTTCAATTTAAATTCTAGTCGCACATATATATATATAT